CTTCACCCTAATCTGCACATTTTGAATTGGTGTAATTGCCAAAGAGAACGTAGACACGTGAGATCATATACACTTCACTGCTCCAAACCTAAATGACCAGGCAGAAATCTAAACCGCATGAGAGAGAAAGACTTGCAGTGATCATTTTTGGAAAAGAACATGACACTTTTAAACTCTCTTTTAACAGTGGTTCTTTATGTTGAAAGCCATCTGAAAGAGTTGTGATTGGTGTAATAAGTGCTGTGAGACTTTAAATCAAATGTTTTACATTCTCTACATTAAAAAAATCCAATTGAAACAGTTTAATTATTTCCCAGATCTTTATTCCTATATAAATTAAAGGTGTCTGTGGATTATGATGGATTACATGTAGATGGATGACCTAATATGGTGTGTCCAAGGCAACCGAGCAAAACACCACTACATAAGTATCCACTAAACCCAGATTCCGATTCATTTACAACACATTTACAAAAGGCTGCAGATTGTACTTTATCAAAGTCTGTTCCGGGAGCGCCATGTAAACACAAGGGCAGGCACACAGATAGAATCGGGAACAAAACAGCTCCGGTCACCTGGTGTGCAGTTGTGCTGGTTGCTTTTGGTTTCCATTTTTAAAAAGTCACCATTTGAGATGGATGTCTGACCTTGTCTTGATCTCATGAACCCCCTGGCTGACTCTTTTTTTGAGTCACTGTGAGGCACCGTCCCCCTTTTTGGCTACAGAATGGACCTTAGCCACAAAATTAGAAACCTGAGGCCAGTATAGAGTGGCTTGAGAATTGAAGTACAATTAAAAATAATTTTAAATGAACTCTAGCTCTTGCACGATGACAATTTTTGTATTGCAATCTTACATCAGATAATGAAAGACAGATAAAAAAGTGTATGTAGTGATGATTAAATGTTGGGCTTTGGATCTAATTATTAGTTGATTATGGAACGGTGACTATTTTGAACAGTCTGTAATGTGACTTCTACCGGCACTGGAATGACTTACTACTTGCCAATTGTTTGGTTATCATAGTTGAGTCACTTGATGACGATTAAGTCATAGATAGAACATGCTTGGCGAAGTAACAGTCTTTTGTAGTTGGGATCGGAAGCAATTGGTTGGCAGACTTGCGTCAAAATACCTTCTTAATCTGATTTAGCGTACAAGCTTTTTTCCACGTCCAGCTAACCGGAAACTTTCCTTTTGTGTGAATTGTTTTAAGATGGGTAGAAGTTTACATCGTGTTTAAAAGCATGTATTAATTCATTTTCAAGACTCTCTGTGGTCACAGTAGCCATGGTCTTTGACCACAGTAAAAATAAGGATATTCTTAAAATATGATATTCCATTATCAAGCCACTGGCTGGTGTTGTTGAGCAGGATGTGTCTTCTGAACTAGTCCTGTGATCAACTTGGCCAACATCCAAATTTCAGGTGATTATGTTTGGTAAGGCGCGTTGGAAACTTCTATACCCGACAATAGAGGAGTAACAAAGAAGGCGACGCTCAGTTTATTAAATCGGCAGCACAATTAAACAATAATAAGGTTATGATTAGATGGTGGATAGCTTCTGCCGGTCTGTCCTAAAGTAAACTCTCCTCTGTTGAGATGAGTCGTCCCATTCTTTAAGTGTTAGCTATTGGGATTTAAAATAACCAGTTCTATTATTAACCGCCTGCTTCTCAGAAGGAAGTTGGTTTCTGATTTTGCCTTTACTTCTCGCAAGGTGATATTTGTGTTTCTTTTCCTTTTTTCTCTCAGTCATTTTCTTTCATTTGTTTGCATACAGTTTTCAAAACTGGGGCACACACAAACACAGCGCTCGGGTCCTTCTCCGTGCAACAGTGTCCTGACGGAACAGGTTATGATGCAGAAAAACCTGATGTGCACTTCTCTAAACACCTGTGCTTTACATGGAAAGATGCAGTTTTTTTCCCTTCCCGATCAATATCTTTCTTTTTTTTTATCTCTTTATCAAATGACTCAGCTTTTTATAGCAGGGTTATAAACGGTGAGGACGACATTGCCCAAAAAACTCCCTCGTCGGTTACTTCAACCCCTCACAAGCCCAACCTTAGAGTGACAGACGGTGACGCATTATAGGAGATTATGTGCCAAGTTTAAATAACAGCACTGTGCTGCTGGGCTCTCATGGAGAATGCCACAGTTTGATAAGCACTCTTGTTGCCTCCTTGGAGTTTCAAAAATGAACTCAACAAACCAGGAAATCTGAGCTGCCAGGAATCGGAGCCTGCATTTAAACATTAGCCTGCTTCATTCCAGGCTCAGACAATGATTCAACCCTGTTAAATTCACTTAAATATCCACAAATCCATCCATCCATTTTTCTAACCGCTTATTCCCTAATGGGGTCGCAGGGGGGACTGGAGCCTATCCCAGTGGTCAATGGGCGAAAGGCAGAGTACACCCTGGACAGTCCGCAAGTCCATCACAGGGCCACACAGAGACACGCAAGGAACAACAACCATGCACACACACTTCTAAGGGCAATTTGGAATGTCCAATCAACCTAACATGCAGGTTTTTGGATGGTGGGAGGAAGCCGGAGAACCCACACAGACACAGGGAGAACATGCAAATTCCACACAGAAAGGCCCTGGTTCCCCCGGGGACTCAAACCCAGAACCCTCTTGTTGTGAGTCCATGGTGCTAACCACCACACCACCTCCTCAAAGACAGTCAAATTCATGTTGATATATTAGTCACTCTTCTGTCGGTCATCCTCCTGACTTTATTTGTCCCATCACCCTCTAGACGACAAAGTGTCAAACAGAACATCACAGCCAGGAACTGTTGGTTTTCATTAAGGTTTAATGATCTATCCACATTATTTTTTCTGACAAGAGGTTCTGGGAAGCAGACTTTTCTTCACCTTTTCTTTTATCCATTGACTTCGCCCTTATCACTCCACAAACAACCGATCTGGGTTGTGCTGTTTGCTCTAGGCTGGTCTGCTTGTTTTTCTGCTTTAATACCGTGTGTGCGCGATAAGACTTTTTTTTTTTAACCCTCCATACTAAATACAGCAGACAGAAAAACGACACGGGCTCTCAGCTCTTTATTTTGCTTGTTTGTTTAATTCCCATTTCTCCTCGGCCGTCTCTTCCTATCGTCTATTATTTGACTTTTTTCTCTCACACACCCTCCTGATATTCAGCATTTTGATCAGGAACTCTGTGAATTTCTGTTTGGATTAGCACGGAGCGTGCAGCTGTGCGCCGGATGCCAAAAACACAGGCGTGCGTGTTGTCCTGTCTCACACTGTGCGTCTCTCTTTTGCTAACAATTGTGCATCTGAGCAGCCGCACACACCCAGTTCCCAACCAAAAGAATCCGACAGCCGTTAATGAAACCGGGCGTACCTGTTGAGTGCAACTCACCAAGTGATGCTCACTCACACAGTGCTTGAAAATTAGTTCATAAGAATAGGACGGGAAAGCGTGCTTTCTAAACCCCGAGGTCACAGAGCATTTATAGACTGATTATGACAGATTAGGGAATTCAGTTCAGTCTGTAGGTGGCTACTTTAAAACCTGACCGGCGTCTTGCTGGTCACACTGCACACATTTCTGTGCTCCCACACCTTTCAGGGTGGTTTGGGATGTTAAAGAAGGCCTCTGAGTGCAAAGGACGTTCAAAGTTGAGCTTTTTTCTTCTTACCTGCAGCAGAAAGCTGCAGCTCAAAGCTCCTTCTCTGTTTGGAAGTGTTTCAGAACAGAATAGGATGTGCAAAAAAACCTTTACATAAAAAATAGACATATTTAAGGGAGAAAAAAGTTACCTTATGGATAGCTTTGACAAATCAGCTACATAAAAAAAAGAAAAAAAAAAGAATTTGAGGTCTTTTAATCAAAGGGATCTCAAAGTCTGGTCCAGGAGGGCCAAAATCCTGCAGGTTTTCCAACCATTGCACCATTGGGACACTTCTGAGCAAATCTTTTGAATAGATGTATTCCATCAGGTGTTAAAGCGAGGAAACGTCTAAAGCCTGTAAGACAGCGGCCCTCAGACAAATAGTTAGAGATCCCAGATTTACTATAAAATGTTATTAAAATCCACATCTGCAGTCCCCTAAAATTAAACGGCTGTTTTCTTAAATAGATGTATGAAACAGTTCGTTGTTATAAGCAAAAAAACTAATGTCTAAGCATAACCCCGCACAGGAGAGCTGAAAAGAATTACACAGTGTTGTGTTTTACCAATACCAAAATGGCCAACAGGTAAACAAACTGATGTAATTCATAACATCATATGATCCTTACATCTGCCCATGTGATCCAGGAAAGAAAAAGTTTTTCAAAGAGGAAGTGGTTCGTGGCGGTTTCCCAGTAAATCATCAGTGACTGGAGGAAGAAGCTGTTTTGGATTCTTCGTAAATGTCACAAGTCAAAGAAATGTTCTAAGGTATTATGGGGCAGACACACATAGGCATCTTTTTTTTTTTACATAAAAGTACAGAGAAACAGAGAAAGTAGACACAGAAATGACAACAATATTTTGAACAAATATATATTGTATTGTACAAAATGTTATTTCATTTAATCATATTTGGAAAAGAAATTAGAAATCTCAATGGATATAACCTTATACCGATAATCTCATGTTTTAAATTCACTGGTGCAATTAAAGTGTTTTGTAGCACCATTCGGTGCTAAAAAATAAAGGGAAGTTCTTGCTCGACCTGAGATGCCTGTCCCATCCTCAAGGAAGAGCTTCAAGAATGTGTGATGTTTCGTGTGAGTTTACACAATGGAAGATGTGAACGCTGAGAAGTTGACATGCGTCAAATAATTTACGAGAAGAGGCTCAGAGATAAGCACGGTTGCTTGTCAACATTTTTGTGGCCTTCAATCATGTTTCACTATGACCTCATCATTCCTTGCGTTCTTCTCCCCTCTGTGTTCCGTATCAGGTTCCATCTTTGTACCTCAGTGTGCCGCTTTGACAAAATAAGATTAAAAAAATAATAAAATACGTGTATATAGGAAACTACTTTTTATTTCAGAGAAATACAGAAACTTTATAACAAAGCTTTTGGTTCAGCATATTTAATTAAAATGACTTAAATAGTTCTTCATAAAATCCCTTCTTGGTAAAATATTTATTACTGTGCAGTATCAATAGAACTGCCACTAACGTTTTGGCAGGTAATGACACAGACTTCAGTTCAGCTTCACAGAAACCATTCCTCACTCTTCGAGTTCAGTAAGCTTTTTCAAATCGGACTTTAAAAGCTCCTCGTCCTCCTCCTCCTCCTCCACCTTCACCTCTATGCCGTCCATAGTTTTCTGCAGCTGCTCCTTGATCCGGTTCAGCTCCAGCAGGCCGTCCTGCAGGTCCTTGCAGACCTCTCTGATCTTAGCGGCAAAGTCCGTCTTGGCCCCCTTTTTCAGCTCCATGGAGTCCTTGGCCAGGAAGAAGACGTCCAGAGCCAGGAAGAGACCCGACATGACTCCCGTGGTGACGCTCATCACCTGCGCCGCCTTGGCCGCCCCGCCGGCCACGCCCAGGACCTGGACCGTGCTGATCAGACTCTCGGTGTTGACCAATAGGGCCTTTCCCGCCCGGCCGCCCTCCTTCATGACGTGCTTGACGTTCTGATTGAGGTGCTTATTCGCGATGCTCTCCGCATACTTCTCAAAGTCCCACTCCTCCAGCGTCTCCATCCCTTCCTGTCACAGACATGAGTCAGAGGGATGAAAAGTGTCCTTTGGATCCAAACACTGCTCTAGCGTTTTAGAATTCAAACCGAGAAACAGACATGGACATATTGGAGCGAGGCTGAAAGGCCCCTCGTGGTCTCACCTGTAAAAAGTCCAGGCACTCTTTGATGTCTTGAATCTCGCCCTGGTAATCTTGGATCATCTTCTCCACCTTCTTGCGGTCGGTCTTCGAGTGGACCGTGTCGGTGATGTTGGCGGAGGCCGAGGTCACGCCGCTGGCCGTGGCGATGCCGATGCCCACCGCCGTGACGATGAGCGAGGTCCCCGCCGTGAAGGGCGCCAGGATGAGGCCCGTGATGGTGGTGACCGAGCCCGCCACGCTGGCCACGCCGCCGCCCACGCTGGCCGTCACCGTCTTCTTGTGGAAGTTGTCGGCGGCGTCGGCCATGGCGAGCAGCTCCAGGATGCGCTGCTGCAGCGAGGCGCCGCGCTGGTTGAAGAAGCGCACAAAGAGGCGAGCCGCCATGAAGACGCGATCGGCCGCTTCCTCCACCACTCTGACGCCGGGACAGGGGACAGAAAAGTTAACCAGACGCCTCGGCCAGCAAGTTTACAAGTTCATAGAAAAATGTGCTGGTGGAAGAGGAAAAAGTTTTTTACTCTTCAGCTTCTTCATCCTGGTTTGCCTCATTCCATTCATCCCATCCTGAAAAAACACACACAAAACAATTAAAATAAAAACATTTAAAGAAGGTTTCAGCTCACAAACTCCACCAAAGGCCTCACAAACCCTCAACAGTTTTCCACCACGCCAAAAGGCCTTCTTCATCCTGTGGAAGGACAATTTCAAACTCAGTGGTGTTTTCACGGCATTCAAAGACTTAAGAAAAAAAAAGTGAGTAACATTGAGTCCTTAATGATGAGCACTGACCTCCAAAGGGTCTAGTTCTGTTCCTTCTCCAGGAACCGGGACCTCAGCAAGTTGCAGCGTCTCCACTTCTCCTTCCTTCTTTGTTTTTCAAGAAATAAAGAATAACAAAGAAAGAAAAAATGTATAGCAGCCAATCAGAGAAGCAATATTTTCCTACAAAGCCACAGACGGCTGCTTCTGCTGCTCTGTTTTAACATCAACATGCACCACAGCTTCATTCTGAAGCTGAAAAATGGCTCAACGTACAAACTTTGGGTTCTGGCTTGAGTTTCAAAATCGTACAGTGAATGAAAAAAAAAAAAAAAAATGTGTAATCAGAAATGTGTAAATAGGATTTAAACAAAACACGAATTCCCCAGCTGCTGCCCTGGTGCTCCCAACTTGATTAATTAATTAAATGTATTGAAAATGCATATGAACAGACATAAGACTGACTAATGACTTTAAGATTGAATAAAACATGTTCAGCTGTCAGCCACACACACACACACACACACACACAGACCTTGCGTCTCCAGTCACATACTTAAATGGTTACACCATGGCTGACTGGGTCGACCTGTCACTTTAGCTTCTTCCTGATGCAGATTAGTTGTTTCTGCTTTTCTTGCTTTGCGAGTTTTTTTACTTTTGGGGTTTTTGGTTGAGTCAACAAACTTGTTGAGCAACAAGTGTAATAGTACATAAGACGCAGAGTTCCTCTCTTTGCAGTCGGTGTCTTTTTTTCCTTTAAAACTATGTGGCCTTTGGGATGGGTAAATCTGCCTGCTGATGCGACGGCTCAGAATGAAACTCAACAGCGCTTTGTGACAAATGAAGTCCTCTGTACGGAGCTCTGACGGAAACACAACCTCAGGCCACCACAGACGCTGACTTTTGGACACTACCGGTTAGAATCTGGACGGCCCTTTTGCTCTCGAGTCCACCCATTGCTAAACCAATCAGAAAGGTGCACAGATCTCATCAGATCGCAGAGCACTTTTACACTTTGTGTCGACCCGTCTTGGGCCGAGAGTGAGTTTTCCATGCTTGTTTTTTGCTTTGCATGGAAGAGTTCTGAAGCGGTCCTGAGCCCATGTAGTAATATCCTCTACAGAACGACGCTGGTTTCATGCAGTGGCACCAGAGGGATTGAAGGGCCCTGCTATTAAGCGTTATTGTCTCTGAATTCTGAAATCCCTACCGGCCTGCGCTGAGCAGATACCAGTACCATTTTCTACTCTGACATCATCGAGTTAGAACCTTCAGAGGAGGCTGAATATTTGTGTATAAAAATCTCTATTTGGATAATATTCTATTTTCAACATCCTTCACATGACAATGAATCATACACTATCAGCTGATGGCACATTTTCTTAGTCAGATATTTCCCATCAAGATACACAGAAGATACAAGATACACAGAGTTCAATATATTTGTATCAACCACTTGCAGACCATGGCCTGGAGATAGTTTTATTTTCATTATTTATAATGAGGAAATAATTCTCTAAGAGTAGAAATGCACCTATGCCATCATGCTGGTGTTATGCTGACCTGTCCGGTTCCTCTGTACAAAGGCTTTTTTTAAATGCCCTGGGAATGTGATGGGGAGATATAATTGCCAACAGGAAACTAAGATGCACGATGGGAAAATGAGTACAAGAAGGCAGAGTGGCCTCAGGGAGAAAGATGCTGGAATTCTGGTTTCAAACCTGTTAAAGATGCAAAAGTGGGACTTACCCCTTTTCAATCACAAGTACCTTTCGAAGAACATTGCAATTTGACTTTAATTTATTTAAGCTGGAAAGGACAGGTTGCTTTGGGAAAGTCTATATTACGACTCTTCTATCCCATGTATAACTTTATTTGTACAGTTCCGCTCTCACACACAGTTTGCGTAGTGCAAACTCTGTGCGAGTGGTGTCTATGACAACTATCAGCTTGCCTGCAACGTGGCAAAAACATGAGATGGCGGCGATTCACAGTCACTACTCTTTAGTTCTTTATCAAAAACTGAAGCCGAGCAGTTTGTTGGTTCTGTTTCTGTTAACCTGCCTTTACTACCAACCTGGGGCAGTGCCTGTGTGTCAGAGGCTGCGCTTGCGGAGTCCTGTCGATTCACAAACACAAAAAAACACTCAAATTAGAACAATAAACAGCAAAGTTAAACTAACTGCTGTACACAGGAGAGGGAGATGTTTTGGTCTTACCTTCGTTCCCGACCCAAACAGCGCATTGGGAAGAATCCTCCTCAATATGAAGGTCTGGAGAAGGAAAAACAAACAAACTACCATTTCTCACACAGCTTGGCAGCCCCTCCTGTAACAACCCGGTAATAGCTAACATCATCTGAATAGAGCCAGGATGAGTCTTGCAGACCTTTTTTCTCTTTGGGGCATCTGACGGCTGGCTGTTCACCTCACAGCTGCTCCCGGCGTCTGTGTACCAGATAGACTGCAGAGGAGGAGAAGTTAGTTAGAACACTGCTGCCAAATCCCTGAAATTGTGTGAAACATGAGAGTTATGAGCTAAAAGACTTTATTACTTAACAGATTTTCTACGATAAGGACCGAGTGAAGCAGAAGGTAACCCAAATTCTTTCTGCTGACAGTCACTCTCCAATAACCAACATGGAACAGGTGTCATACTTTGGGAACTCAGTTTCATGGCTTACGTGATTTGCATTGTTGTGAGGGTGCGTTTTCATGTGAACTGGAGACAATGAAGCCTCTGTATCGCATTGATCTAAACTTTCACTTTTCAATTTGACAAAGATGTTGACAGAGATGGCGTCTTTTAAAAGTCATTTTGGGGTCATACGTGTCTCTCGATAGTGCTGTCATCCAAGCTTTCAGAGCTGGTGGAGTTCTCGCTGTGAACGTCTCGTTCAGCCTGATGAAGACAGAAAAACCATCGAGTGAGATTTGCTGGGTCGTTCAACAAACAGCCATCAAAACTGTGTGATTCAACATCAGTGAACAAACAAACAAGAAAAAAACTTTAAAATGTCTTAACTTGTCACACCACAGTTACCTGGGTAGTGTAAGCAGGAAGTGCGGCATCAGTCTGACATGCGTCACCTGCAGCCTGCATCACATGAGCACCAAAGGGAAAGCTTTCAGGGATCTTCGGAGCACACTTTGAAATGGAATTAGACCGTTTATACCTGTGCGTGTGACTTGAAGGGATTCACTTCCTGCATCATCCCTTTCAGCATTCCAGGGTTCTATTAGAAAATGAAGAAAGACACAACAAACAATAATAAAAAAAACAACAAAAACAGTAAAAATGTGTATTCACTTCTCCGGTTCAAGGTATCCAAGTATGAGGGTACTTAAAATTCAAGTCATGTGTTGTGGTGCCATCTTGTGGTGATGGCAAGTATAGCAGTGACTATTTGCTCCTTTCGCCACATTACTATACACTTCTCATTCCTTCCAATTAAATGCACTCATGCTTCTCATGTGATAGTCACAAATCAGATGATCTGAATGGTTAGTTTTCTCCATATTGTGTAACTAATAAGCCTAAAATATGTGGACATGCTTGTTTGAAAATGCTTCTTGAAGGGGATTTCTTGGTTATTTGCAGTCACCTGTTTTTCCGGCCCATTGTTGTTGTCAACCAAGCTTCCAGTGCTGGAAGAGAGGTCACTAGATACGAGCTGGGAGTCCTGGGAATATGATACAAAAGACAGAACAAAAAGCAGACTGAACATGAGAAAATGGGGCCTCTCTTTGTCAAACATGGCATTCTGAATCTCCCAGACAGCGGTACAGTCACGCTCATGAGGATTTCTGAGGGTACCTTTGGTTGGGCCAATCGGAAAGGGTTGACTTTCCGAATCATACCCGTCATAAATCCAGGATTCTGAATGGTAAAGCACAGCAATCAGTAAACTGGTTGACAATTCTGCACATAGATGGGGTTGGTGAGGCATCGGGATAACACCTGTTTATCCTCAGGTTCTTTAGCCTGCTGTGGATTTACACAATCGTCCTGAGGATCATCCTTCAGCACCTGAACCGCACAAAAAAAAGTATTTGTTTAAATCCCTAAACCCGAGGGCTTACTTTATTTGCTCATCAACTTCCACGCCTAGTTTCAGTCAACATAGGCGATCGCTGAGGCTTTGAAGAGTGTAAAATTACAACAAATGTACCTGTGCAGAGGACTTGAAGGGGTTTACTTTCTGGATGACTCCCTTAAACATGCCGGGGTTCTGAAACATAAGAGTGTTGTAAGAAACTCCAGCTGCCTTTAGCGCGTGTTAAATAAGGGTGTGAGCATGAATAGGATATGTTAAAAGGGAACAACGAGCTGAAATAAAGAAGTGGTTGCTAATGAGAACTGGTTACTGTCAGTTTTGTTCCTACCTGAGTTGAGTCTGAAACCTTTTCCTGGTCCAGGGACTCTGAGGAAGGAGCTTTACACGTCTGTTTGGAGGAGGGAAACAAAACAAACAGTTGGAGTATATATATCCTGCATTCTGAAACAGGTTAGGCTTTTCCATCAGAGGGTCCCTCCTTTACCTGTGTGCTGGACTTGAATGGGTTGACCTTCTGTATGACTCCTTTCAGCATACGAGGGTTCTGAAACAGATACCCAGTTCATTTCTAGTCCCCACACACACAAATATGTGGCTAATAACAGAGAAGGAAAAAAGGGCTTCTTTCAGCTCCAAATACTGCTGGTTCGAACTAAAAAATAATCTATTTGCACATCACGTCAGTACAGGAAGGAGTGCTGAAATGCTTTACACTGATCTAAAATGGGGCAGTTCAGCCCAAACAGGCTCCTGATATTCACCCTATGACCCCACTAAAACCCGGTGGGGTACGCCACACCATTACTTTATGTGTGGTACTCAGATACTCCAGCTGTGCTGAGAGCGTGTGCCAGCATTTGCATGAAATGGATCACAAAAGGCTTCAGTGCATTGATGCCAGCTGCACTTCACTAGGATTCTTCTGCTTAGCACACTGGTGCAAAATGTCTGCAGGGCCTTTTTTCAATTGCATATGTTTGTCCCAGTTTGCCATTTAAAAAATAATAAAGAAACATCTAATGCTAAAAGTGTATATACATTCAAAATACCCCCAAAAATTATTTGAAAAAAGAACATACAATGACAATAAAACTGACTTTTATTCACGAGACATGTTTGGTGTTTAGAACCAGTAAAAACACAAGACCTTTGAAAAGCTTTAAACTGGATGGGGATGAGTCTAAGTAGTACACAAAAGGACAGAATAAGTTTGTGGAAAAAACTAATACTGTTAAAGAATAAAATCAAAGTCCAGACTATAACCCAGCTGAAATCTCGTGGTGAAACCTTCAAGCAACGTGGGTCTAATTCGTTGTGCGGCACAACTACCTTTTTCCAGCACATTTTCGGGACTACACTGCCTCGGTGAACCCTGGGGCTGAGACACTGCTAATCTGAGGCACTCCACCGATAAAACCGTGGACGGAAGAGGGGATGATGAGATAAGAAAAAACTGGTTGGATTTCAATGCAGGAAAGAGCTCAGGTGAAAAAAAAGAAAAAAAAATCACAACTCTTTGATTCTTTAGAAGAAGAAAAAAAGGGTTTATATCCATCTGAAATTTACATATGCCCTCTTTATAATGACAAAAATAACCCATGCCGTTTTGTATACGTGACTTAAATGTATAAAACTTATGGAGTGCATAGATGCCAGAGAGACATACTCATCCATCCATCAAAAATGTAAACTCTGCAATAGCAAGCTCTTCAACAGAAACACTTTGAGAAACACAGTTTCCTTTATTTAGGTTTGAAGTGTACATATATCATAGTGTGTAAATCAGTTTTCTGAACCATTTGGAAAATGTTCTTAAACATTACACACTGCTTACACATTTTGGTGGCCTCCGGGAGTAGGAGTCTCTGAGGCATGACAGGATCGTATGTATGGCTGTGCATGGACAGAGCTCAGATGCTTTGCTTTTATAAAAAGGTTTAATTCATAGACCACAGGGGGAACCAAAGAGCATAAAAAAACAGTAAATATGGGTAAAAATGCTTTCTCAGCATTGTTAGAAACTGATATATTTAAAAAAAAAAGTCAGCTTTGTATTACTGCTTTAAAAAAAAAGAAAAACAAAAGGTCGCATTGACACCATTTAGCTTTTTCAACGTGGTGCTTGAACACATGACCAAATCTCAGATCACACAGATATCCTGCAGGAGTGTACTCGCAAGCTCACCTGGGCCGAGTCTGGTGCCTGTTCCAGTGACTCCGAGGAGGGGGCTTTGCTGACTGTGGAGGAGGGAGCCTGAACAGAACAAAGTTGTGTCAGCTGACGCATTCCTAATGACGCAAAGCTATAATATTAAACTCTCTGCGTTTTCACCTTTGAGACAGACTTGAAGGGGTTGACCTTCTGCACAACCCCCATCACCCCTTTCTTCTGCCGTTTTAAGAAAATCCATAGTTTAAATAGAACTACTAAGCTCAGTCTTTAGGTTAGTGTAATTTGTGATCTCCTGGTTTTGCCTTAAAATGGTGGCAGTAATGGAACCAGTCCGAGCTTTCACCTGTGAAGCTGCAGCATCTTCTGCATCCCGCCTGTTCAAGCTGTGTTTGATGGGGTTTTCAAGCTCCTGGAGACAGATAAGGGCATCAGTTTATTCCAGACACGGATTAAGCAAAAACACACCTCCCACTGTCCTCTATGGCCTCACCTCCTCACTGGGTCTGGGTGGAACCGGTGGAGTTGGAGCCACGGAGCCTTTATCTCTTCTGAACATGTTCATGCTGCAGCGGGAGGAGAGAGGAAACAAAACACGGCGAGGTTTACCGAAACTCCGGCTCCTACTTCCCCCTTTGCCCCCCTTCCCTTCCCGACAGACCTGAACTAAAACCAATGTGGCGGTGTTGGAGTAAGTATAGCCGAAATTACAGAAAAACGTTTTCCGGATAGAAACAAGTCACGCTGTCCTGTGTTTACGCGAGTTTCTAAAGAAGGGCAACAAGTCGTAGAAGCGGCTAAAAGTTTCAACGCAGTTCGGCGTGTGTCGCTCCCACTAAACAACAGCTTTCAAAGCGCGCTGAACACTGCGTGGAGCGGAATGTTTGACAGCTCAAAATCACAAACAACACAATGAAACGAGCCTACCTCAGCGTTGGGTCAAGGAAAATTAAAATACTTTTATTTAAAAAGCCGGTTGACACACAGCAACGAGGAGTTTTCAAACTTGTAGCTACAGCTCAGTCCTTGACTTCCCCTTGCCGAAGTGGCGGCGTATAACTGGTCTTTTTGGTCTCGAGCCGAGGCGGACCTCGAAGGGGTTAAGCCGGCGGCTGAACTGTTCGTGTCGGGGTAGGTTTGTGTGCAAACGGCGGGCTGAATTGGTGGAGGGCAGAGCGCGTCAGGGCTCCACACCTACAGCGCTCACAGGCTCAATTTGCATTGATTTGGATCACCTGTAGGGGGCGTGACCTGTTTCTGATGTTGTCTAAACGTCCCAACCCCTCCGCGTCAAAGCACCGCGTCACTCCTCTGTGTGTCCGTCCGCTCCGTCCATTAAGTATTAGTAATACTTGTTTAAATAAAGTAGACTAATACTGTGTTGGACTAATTTATTTCCAGCTAATGTTCTTCCTCTGTTCTTCAAACTGTATATAAGGAAGAAAACAGTTTCGGAAAGTCGGGAAACTTTTTAAAAGATTTAAGACAACGGTTTTCCTTTTATTTTCATTTATTGAACTTGTTAGCCTGAAGACATGATTTTGAGAGCTAACTTTATAGGCCTACTTGTTGAAACTAGTTTTTTGGTTCAAAGCAAGGCGGTTCTTCCCTTTGTTGAACTGACCAACAGAAACCTGCTCAAAGAGGGAAACATTTATGTTCTTTATTCACAGGTTCAGCGCAGTAAAAGAGAAAATGTACTAAAAATCTACTAAAATATGTAAAAATCAGATACTTTCAATTTCAAAATGATGCATAAAGATTAGACATACACAAACACTGGTGTCAAAAGTGAGATGAAAGGGTATAAAAGGTCAGATTTAACTTAAGATATTACAGATAATTGACAGTTAATGATATCAGCATTTACAACAAGTTATTTTTCTGCAATAAATCATCTTTGTGGCACATATGAATGTAATAATTTTCCAACAAAATCTTTGCAAGTATTTTACGTTTCCACTTGTTCACCCATCAACAGTTACTAAGAGTCACAGGAACACATGACAGAGCCTTCTTCCTCTCACAGATTCTATTCTACTTGTTTTACTAAAGCTGTGGACTGAATTGACATTCAAAAAAAATATACCTATAAAATAAACGACCTTACTATAAACGAGGAGACACTTTTTCACACACATTATATATATGTGTGTGTGTGTATATATATATATATATATATATATATATATATATATAAGAATGACTATTCACAGCAGTCCGTCTTAAACTAACCTGATTTTTAAAAACTGATATATAAAAATAATAACTGAGCTTCATTGCAGATGCTCAGCTCCCCGCACTTTGATAACAGTATGACTGATACCATGTGATCCCATGTGTACACCGGCCCCATAGGTTGGGTAAATAAACCAAGTTACTCAAATTAGACCCTCTGTGACAAAAAAGGAGGGGAAAAAAAAAAAAAAACATCTGCCCCTGTGCATGAAAACATGTCAAAACCACCTCACACATTAGAAATAAAAGACTTATCTGTGGACTCAATTGTTTGCAGCACTGATATTTAGCATTGACCTGGTGTGCTAAAATGAAGCTTGTGTGAGAGTGCACTCCTCAGCTGCTCTGGCCTTTAGCCAGCAGAGGGCGCTGCTGGTCTTATGCTCAAAGCTCATACACCTCCGATTGCATCCTGCAGCTCCTCCCTGATGGTGTTGAGTTCCACGATGGTGTCGTTGAGCACATTTGCCACCTCCCTGATCTGTCCCACGATCTCCTTCTTGCAGCCTTTCTTCAGCTCTCTGGTGTCCTTCACAAAGTATTTGTCCATGCCCCTGAAGAGTCCTTGCAGTGAGGTCAAGGCTGTGTCGGCGAGCTCAGTCGCTCGCATCACGGGCGCGTCCACGAGGCTGATCATCTGGACGGCCATGCGGATCTCCCATTCCTCCGAGTAGTGCTGGGTGCCGGACCTGAGGAAGGGGTGCCCCCGCAGTTTGTACACGCCCTGATTGGTGAAGTGGAGGATCTTCCCTATGTCCAGAAGGTGCACCTCATACTCCTTCAGGAGAGCCTCCACCTAGTGAGGGACACAAATGGCAGCGTGGAGTGACACATAGAAAAAGGGAAGGTCTTGTTAAAGCAGGACATTAAATCTTTGACCTCCACCATGTGAGGTGGGAGCTCCCCCCTCCCCCCGCCATCCCCCATCGCCTGACCTTCTTGCGGTCGTGCATGTTGTTAACGTTATCCGAGATGGCGGCGGAGGCCGAGGTGATCCCGCCAGCTGTGGCCACGCCGACGCCCACCGCTGTGATCACCAGAGAGGCGCCAAGGGTGAAAGGAGCCAGAGCCAAGCCGGCGATGGCCGCCACGCCCCCCACGGCGGTGGTGGTGCCGCCCGTGATGCCGGCGATCTTGGCTTTGTGGTGGAAGTTGCTGATGTTGTCGGCGATGGCGTGGAGCATGATGATGGACTGCCAGAGCACCTCGGCCCGCTCCATGAACACCTTGTTGAAGAGGCGCAGGCCACGATGGACCTTGTCTGCCAAGGTGGTGAACGACCTGGGAGGCAGAAACGACGTTTGGGCGGTTAAGAGCGAGCAGTGAGGCACCCTCTTCAGCCGGTTACTGCCGAGGGGAGCCGCCTCCCAAGCAGAAGGCACTGTTTATAGCCTGAATAAGAACTGGATCTCAAATATACGCAATAGACAGCTAAATAAAGGCTGATTCAGTCTCTGAATCAGTCTTTGCACAAGGATCAAAGCAGTTTCCAAGAGACCAGCTAAAGGACCTCATGAGTGCAAATTTCATGAGCTTGTTTTTCATCCTCTACATCAATCTAAAAACTACTTTAACTTTGTCTCATGACATGGGAACATCAGTTCATTTTATGTCTCTGAACGATTTGCATTAATCGGGAGTGGAGCGTTGGAAGACGTTTTCATGTGCTGGACTTAAACAGAGCCATGTCTCAGTCCATATTAAATTAACACCATCCTATCTGCTGCACGTGCTTCTCAATTCCGCCACGATGCTCTGTGACTGGAGCAGAAACCTCCGGCAAAGCGGAGGACAATCGGACGTACTTTGACTCATCCTGTTTGATGACCGTGTTCTCTTCGTCTGATGGCATCTCGTCCCATTCTGGAATTAAAAAACACGCATTGACGTGTTGAAGGAACAGATTTCGGCAAACACGCCAGTTAGTTGTCCCATTTTGGACCAGCGTTTGTTACTCACTTTCCACTGTGTACCACCACTCCATTAAACTGTCAGTGTCCTGATGGAGTATGTGAGGGAGAAAAAAAGAAGAAAGCATGACGACTTAGCGCAAAAGCAATGAAACGCATCCAATAAAACAGCAAAATATTTAGAAATTGACTGACCCCCTCCTCATCTTCATCCTCCAGATCCGCTATGGCGCGCTCGTCCTTCTGAGCCGCCCGCCACTCGGCCTGAATGAGGGGAAGGGGTGGGTGTGCCAAAGACAAAACCAGAGAATACTTTAGGATGGCTTTACAGAATCTTTGTGTCCGCATCACGATCCTGCACATGTGAGGAGTGTTTGCAAATGAAGGGCTGTTTTTGGCAGCAGTTGCTGCGTCAGTTGGGACACTATGCAGCCCGACCGGTCCCATCACATCAGGAATGTGCCCCACAAACAAACAGGGTGTGTACAAACAGCTTGTTTTGTTTTCAGATGATGGCTGAATTCCTGCTGGAATCCCTCGTTTCCATGGGCACGTGCTTTATTTATTTATTTTATTCTTTTTGAGGATTGCCGTTTTGGCCGGCCGCTGTGACGCAGTCATACTGCAGCAAAAAGTGCAGCGTCATGTAATCAGTGTGCAGAAGTAAGTTTTAGTTTTTCTGTTTTGGTGGAAACGGACGAGAGAGACTTCCTCATTACGAGCATATTATCCTATACAGGTGATCAAAGCGTCCGCAGAGCCTGTCAGGTGGACGGGGCTGAGGCTGTGGAAAGTTTCAGACTAAAAACATGTTATGTTCTATCAGCAGCTATGATAAGAATGAGCCGAGTGTCACATGATGATCCCGACTGGAGATTAAGCAATTACTGTTTGAGACACTCAAAAACAAGTACTGCCACTTTAATTCAGACCCAAATTTATGCATTCAGACCGTCGGCGTCCAAGAAAAGCGGACGCCTTCAAACTGACCTCAGCGGCCTCCGACATGAAGTCACTGGAAGCAGCTCCTGGTGGATCCTTGTCTTCCCAACCTGAGCTTTTGCGCTGTGGAGAGAGTGAAAGCTCAGATATAATTATTTTCCATCTAAGGGAGGCAAAGTGTCGAGAACAAAAATAAGTGACCGGACTCACCTTGGGCTTGAACTTTTTGTGGAGCTTTAGTTTGAGCGACTTCTTCTGTAGAGGGAGAGATGATTTTAGAGCTGTACATGGGATACCCCACTCAAAGAGGGAGAAGAAGTAACAAATACCGGTTTGCAACTGTCCACTTCGTCTGCTTCTTCTTCGTATACGTCTGCAAGACCTACGGAATCCTCATCCTCAGCGAAAAGGTCCTGCCAGAACATGTAACAGACAGACCTGATGAGCAGCACACTAGGCACTTTATAATGCGTGTTGAGCCCCTCTGAACATGAACATACGTGTGGAGCCGCCTCGTGTCCACTGGCTGCGTGGTGCCGGCGCGGAGCGGCCTTGGGCTGGGCATGGTTCTAGTAGAGGAAGAAGCAGCAAAGCAATGAAGTGCGTGTGCAGTCCAGGAGAGGTTGGACGCTCCCCAAAGGAGAGTCGTTACTGATGGTGGTTTTATAAGGAAGGTTTTGCATCATCTGAGGCCTCTCCAAAGCAGAGAAACTGGTACTAATTTTTCTTTGTCCAGATGTATTTGTTTCTAAATAATTTCTAACTAATCCAAGTAATTTACCGGTTTGCAGTCCTCGAACCCATCCAGTTCGTCATTGTCTAACTCCTCGGCGGAGAAGCTGCTCTTCTTTTTTTGTGCACTGCCTCCATCCGGCATGCTTTCCTGAAGACAACACATTCATCAGACCCCCGGGTGAACCCTGTAGGTTTATTTCATTTGCTTTAAACAGGGATGCAAGCTTACCTTGGAACTTCGGCGGCCCATGTGTCGCAGTTTGACCTTTGTTGGTTTTTTCTGTTGATGGAGAAAGTAAAAAATGATTTTTTTTTGCAAACAATAAAACAAAGTGTTTGATTAAGAGTTGAATGCAAAAAGGACAAAAGAAAGTCACAGGTTTATGGTCTTGGATTCCGAAAGCATCTTCGTCCTCATTTGGTCTGGGATGATGGCGGCGGGGCTTCTGCAAGTGCTCGTCATCAACGAAAGCAGCCTAAGCAAAAGAGTCAGAAAAGTCATCATGGATTATGTATCAGTATCACCAGAAGGTCGCACGCTTCAAATGGAAATGTGTTACCACGTTTGCCGACTGAAGTGTCTGGCCCTTTATCTCTTCTATATCCTCAAAATCATCATCCTAGAACAGATTGAGAGACATAGAAAAAAAAGTTTTGTATGAACTGTGAGGCTCTGCAGATTACTTTTTTTTAAAAGTTACAAAAAAAAGAAAAGGTGTTGGTCTTTCACATCTTTGTCCAACTTTATCACCTCTATGGCGCTACAGCTAAATCTCCATCCACAAATGTAAAACCTGTCCCACATAGGAACTTCCAGGTGAGCAAGCAAGATGGCGACAGCATAACCAGGTGGCTCCCCGACATATTACTGAAAATCACAGGTTCAACGCAAGTGTGGGACATTAAGTAACTTAAAAGAGGGCCGAAATGCCCAAGATTAAATCAAAGAGCACTTTGCAGTCTCGACACCTAATGTTAAGAGAGGAAGAATCGAACGAAGACGATATGGCTAACTACTCGGGCCTGGATGCCCCACTAGCGGCTAACGATTCAGCTAACGAGACAGCTAACCTACAAACTATTCTCGAAGAACTAAGAGAATCACGTCGAGAGAATAATGAGGGCTTCCGAGAGGTTAAAGAGGAAATAAAAAACGTAAACAAAAGACTGGACGAGGCAGAAACGCGCATCTCAGAGGCGGAGAACAGGGTTCAGCAGCTCGAAGAGGTAGCACTGAAGCTAAGTAAAGTGCAGGACGAGCTCGAGGCCAAGCTGGTGGAGCTCGAGGGGAGATCGAGACGGGAAAACTTGAGGCTCCACGGCATTGCAGAGGGCTCTGAGGAAAGCTCACCATCTTTATCAGCTTTCATAGAGAATCTACTCAGAGAGAAACTGGATATTCCGATATCGCTCGACTTGAATATTGAGCGAGCTCACCGATCTCTGGGACCCAGAGCCCCACCTGAAGCCCCCCCACGTTCAATTATAGTTAGGTTTGCCACATCCAAGGTCAAAGACGAAATATTAAAAAGAGCCTGGCAAAAGAAAGGCTTCATGCTAGGAGGGAAAAAAGTCATAGCGGATCACGACTATGCTCCAGACGTGTTAAAACGGCGACGCGAGTACCTCGAAGTGAAGCGGGTCCTCAGAGAAAAGAAGATTAAATTCCAAACCCCGTTCCCGGCCAGGTTGAGAGTTTTCTACGAGAGCAACACATGCGTCTACAACTCCGCGGCAGAAGCTACAAAAGACATGGTGAATCGAGGTTACCAAATCACCGTCATTCAGCCATCTACGACGTGGGTCGACAAAATCAAGAACGCGATGTGGACCAAGTCGGGAAAGAATGACAAGGATCACCAACGAAATGGAGCGAGGGAGGAATATAAGAAGAAACTGGAGGGGTTTAGAAGAGGACAAGCACAACCATAAGAGCAGAGGGATCAAGCATATTCCGGTCTGTTTTGTTTTGGGTAATAATGCTTCATCTCTTTTGACGTTATTTGGAGTCGGGGACCACACCGCCTAGAAAATGGGACGCTATAAGCAGGTAACGCCACCAGGGGGCCCTTCGCAACCTTGGAGTTGCGCTGGTTTTCCCTCAAAATCGCTCACAAACTATAACATCACTGAGGTCATTAACAAGACCAATAGAAAGGAAGTCTTTAAATGGATGCGTGTGAACTTAATTTACAATGCTAAAATATTCGTTTTGTTCTTAGTTTATTGTTTGAGTAGTCTAGGGTTGTCACCTATTTCACTTGCTTGGAATTTCCAATGTTATATTAACCAATGACTTCATTATCTCCACTGCGAATTGTAACCTACAATGTAAAAGGAGTTCTTAATCCTATAAAGAGGGCGAAAATATTGGGAAAGATGAAAAAGGAAAAAGCAAAGGTGTTGTTCCTCCAGGAAACCCATCTCTCAGAGGTAGAGCATAATAAACTAAGAAGAATGGGCTTCAATCAGGTTTTTAGTTCATCACACAAAACAGGTCATAGAAGGGGTGTGGCGACCTTAATATCTCGGAGGATCACATTTGAGATGATCCATGAATATAAAGATAAGGAAGGCAGATACAACATAGTAGTGGGCAGACTCGAGGGACAAGAAATTACCTTTATCAATGTTTATGCTCCACCAGGCTCGAAGTGGTTATTTTACAAACACATTTTCGATATGATGATAACTAAATCACAAGGCTTAGTAGTCTGCGGTGGTGATTTTAACATAAGACTAAATCCCTCGGAAGATACCTCTAAACAACCCAGAATTAATAGCAGCTTAGATAGGAAGATCAGGACGATGATGTGTTTATGTGTTTATGTTTATACATTTGGCAGACGCTTTTATCCAAAGCGACTTACAGAGTAGACACAATATTACATTTCTCATCACAATGACAATAAACTTTATAGAACAGAAACACTGATCAGAGTCAGTGGTGAGATAGAGATAGAGGTAGAGGGGCTACAGAAGGAGCTGTGGGGGGGGTAGAGGTACGGGTTAGGGTTAGGATAGGAGATGCTCTTTGAAGAGGTGGGTCTTCAAGAGTTTCTTGAAAACAGACAGGGACTCTGCTGTTCTTGTGGAGCTTGGTAGGTCGTTCCACCATCTTGGAACGACACATGCAAACAGTCTGGATTGTCTTAAGCGTGGTGAAGGCACTGCTAGACGACAATCCATTGATGACCGGAGTGATCGAGTTGTGACATAAGCCTTTGCAAGGGGATTCAAGTAGATGGGAGCCATACCCTTAAGCACTTTGTAGGCTAGCATCAGGGACTTGAATTTGATACGGGCAGCCAGAGGTAACCAGTGGAGTTCAATGAACAGAGGGGTGACGTGAGATTTTTTGGGCAGATTGAAGACCAGACGCGCCGCCGCGTTCTGGATCATTTGTAAAGGTTTTACTGTACAGGCCGGGAGACCAGTCAGGAGTGCGTTGCAATAGTCTAGGCGGGAGATGACCATAGACTGCACCAGGAGCTGGGTAGCATGTTGTGTTAGGTACGGCCGGATCTTTCTTATGTTTAGTAATGCGAAGCGACAGGATCGAGAAACAGAGGCAACGTGATCTTTAAAGGTCAGCTGGTCATCAATCATGACACCCAAGTTTCTTGCTGCCTTTGATGGAGTCAGAGAGAGGGATTCAGTTTGGATGTGAATATTGTGGTGAATAGTTGGTTTGGCTGGAAAGACAAGCAGTTCAGTTTTTGAGAGATTCAGCTGGAGGTGGTGGGCTTTCATCCATTTTGATATGTCAGAGAGACAGTCTGAGATGCGTGCTGAGACCGAGTGGTCATCAGGTGGGAATGACAGATAGAGCTGTGTATCATCAGCATAGCAGTGGTAGGAGAAACCATGTGATTGAATGATCTGGGCCAAGGAAGTGGTATATATAGCAAAGAGAAGAGGTCCAAGTGTTGGGGGATGATCAAAGAGTTGGGGATAATTGATGTTTGGCGTGAATTCAATCCCAGAAAGAGGGACTATACATTCTACTCCGCTGCTCATCATACATATTCTAGAATAGATTACTTCTTCATGTATAACAAGGACGTAGGACAAGTAGAAAAATGTCATATTGGGCTGATGGACCTCTCTGATCATTTCCCACTTCATATAGAAGTAAATGTTAGCAAAACAAAAACCCCGTTCTTATGGAGACTTAATTCTAGTATACTCAAGGGCAGAACTAAAGAGGAGTTAAGGCAAGAAATTCAGACATATAAGCAGGACAATGACAATGGAGAAGTCTCACCTGCAATATTATGGGATGCATGTAAAGCTGTCCTGAGAGGAAAAATAATTGCAAAATCATCTCTTATAAAAAAAACAAAACAAGAAAAATTAAACAATTTAAAACATGTCTTGACCGAATTAGAGGGGAAAAATAAAAACAAAGTAGATCTACAAACTACACAAAAAATAAAACAAATCAGAGACGAAATTGATCATGAATTGCAGACCAACATACAGAAGAAACTTTTATTCCTAAGGCAAAGTTACTATGAATCTGGCCCCAAGTCAACAAAATTTTTAGCATACAGATTAAGAAAACAACAAGAGGAAAGAACTATATATAAAATTAGAGAACCAACAACTAATAAAGTTTTATATAACGGTATGGAAATAAGAAAATGCTTTGAAAAATACTACCAAAAATTATATGCCTTAAGAGAACAAGAAGGAAAAGATGAAGCTAACACACTACTGAACAAATTGTTACTGCCCACTGTAACAAACGAGCAAAATGAAAGCCTGATCCAAAATATAACGCCTCAAGAAATTGAAAAAGCAATAAAGAACTTAAAATTAAACAAATCACCAGGACCAGACGGATTCAGCGCTGAATGGTATAAGATCTATTTAAAAGAGCTGTCTCCTATTCTTTTGAGAACACTTAATTGGGTTTTAAATGGGGGGCAAATTCCTCCCTCTTGGAGGGAAACAATGATTACAGTTATCCCAAAGGAAGGTAAAGACAAACTAAACTGTTCGAACTACCGTCCAATTAGTCTTCTTAATCAAGACTATAAAATCTTTACAGCCATATTAGCTAAAAGACTAGAACATGTTCTTCCAGATATAATAAATTTAGACCAGACTGGATTCATAAAAAAGAGACGTACCAGAGATAATATTAGAAGAACCCTAAACGTGATTAATCATATTAAGAGGACTGACGAACAAGCAATAATACTAGGTCTAGACGCTCAAAAAGCATTCGACACTGTAGACTGGGTTTTTTTATTCAGAGTCTTGTCCCAATTCAACTTTTCCAATAAATTTATAAAGATAATTCAGGAATTGTACAACAAACCTACAGGTAGGATTCGGATCAATGGGGGATTATCAGAAGAAATAAAAATTGAGCAAGGGTGCAGACAAGGATGCTCTATATCCCCATTATTATTCGCCTTATTTATTGAACCTTTAGCACAATGGATTAGACAGAACACCAAAATACATGGCATTAAGATAAATCATACTGAACAAAAATTAGCGCTTTTCGCAGACGATATTCTAATTTACCTAGCAAAACCCCGGGAATCCCTCCCAGAATTACATAAAACCTTGACAGAGTATGGGAAATTTTCAGGCTATAAGCTGAATTCCCACAAAACTCAGGTTTTGACGTTCAAATATTTACCCAATAATATTGATAAGGAAAACTTCAAAATAAATTGGGACACGGACTCAATAGTATACCTAGGAGTAACCATTCCTAAAGACCTAAGGAACATTGTCTCAGTAAATTATGACCCACTAATGACTAAAATAAAAAACGACATATCCAGGTGGAGCCTGTTACCCTATTTGGGTCTCATGCAGAGAATAGAGGCTATCAAAATGATGATGCTGCCAAAGTTACTATACCTTTTTCAGTCACTACCAGCAGAACCAGCCAAATCTATGTTCCAAGAAATTGACAAACTGATTTCAAGATTTATTTGGCAAGGGAAACAGCCAAGGACTAGATTTAGAACTTTACAGTTAAACAAAAGTAAAGGCGGTCTCTCACTTCCAAATATGAATAACTACTACAAAGCAGCACAAATAATCCCACTGGTGGAAATGTGTGATCCCTCATACAAATCAAAATGGAAGGAGATTGAATGCAATAGCATTGGTGTCCCCTTGCAAGCAGCAATTGGAAATATAGACTTAATAAAAGACCTTAAAGAACTCAATCCATGTTCAGAAACAGCACTCGAGACCTGGTCAAAATTAGTAAGAGAAAATAAAGAATCATGTTTACCAATCAGGTGGATAGCATATGATCAAGATTTTACCCCAAATAAAACAGATATTACATTTAAAAAGTGGATTGATAAGGGCTTAGTAAAATACAATGACTTATATCAAAAAGGTCGTCTGAGGACCTTTCAAGATATCAAGCAAAAATATGGCCTTGATAACAGAGATTTTTTCCGTTATCTACAAATCCGGCACTATCTAGAAAAAACAAACAAAGATAAGCTAGATGGAACATTGGTCGACATATTGAACATCTTTCTAAAATCGTATCAATCAACCCCCGTTAACAAATTAACGTCTAAAATGTATAACGAACTACAAATCTTGGCGGGTGGGAACACACTATATATAAAGGAGAGATGGGACAAAGAAAGGAACGATCAAATTCACATTGAGGTTTGGTCTGATATATTGAATAACTGTTGGAAATGTACATCATCACTAGCCTACAAGGAATTTGCCTGGAAGACTGCTACACGCTTCTTCAAAACACCAGCTCAGAGGGGCAGAAGTGCAGACAGAACTTGCTGGAGGTTATGTGGGTCGAGTCAAGCCGGCCACTTTCATATTTTTTGGAGCTGTCCTAAGCTACTTTCCTTCTGGGAGACAATTAAACAGAGTGTAAGGTTTGTCATTGGGGTCAATCTTGATCTAGACTTCGAGACGTTGTTCCTGGGCAGAAGACCAAATTGTGTAAAGGGGTTCTATAAAACATACATGTTCAATATAATGCTTACTGCCAGCAAAAAAGCAATCACTCGAAAATGGATGACAGATAAAACACCCACACTACAAGACTGGATAAACATCATCCAAGACATTCGCAAGATGGAGGAACTGACATTTGCACTGAAACTGGAGCAGGACAGATTTGAAAGATCCTGGACCCCATGGCAAACTTTCATGGACTCCAGATCTGATAACAATGAAAATGAGGTGACACCCACTGTTCTTTAGCTACTCTGTTTGATGTACTCTGTTTTACAGTTCACAAAAGTTTTTATGACGTGGTACCAGTTTGTGTATTCTTTTTTCTCCCCGTTCCTCTGAGAGGGTCTGGGGTGGAAGAAGGGAAAAAAAAAAAAAAAAAAAATGGAACACTAAATACCGGAGGTAGGATAAACACAGGAAGGGGTATGTAATATGGATCAATATGTTAAACTGAATGGATGTTAGTAAATGTCTGTACCACCTTTTGTAAATGGAGGAGATCCACGTCCTCCTCGTTGTTCCATAATAAAAATTATAATAAAAAAAAAAAAAAAAACCTGTCCCACATAAAAGAGGTACAGGAACTAAATCAAGGAAAGACTTTTGATTAAAGCTGAAGACTAAAGCCAGGAGTCCACTATGACAACCAGAGACAAATGTCCTGCTGTGCCAGATACCAACAATCATCATTTAGCAAGAAGGAATGCGGCACAGAACATGCCGATACAAAACAATGCTGGTGCCCTTATTTACAAAGGAAAAAAAGAAACAGAGGAGCTCTAGCCGGCCTTTGGCAGAAGGAGCTCTGGCTGGATGATGCTTATTTTAGCTTAAGTTATGACGGCAGTGTGAAAAGAAACAGCAGAATTTAAAAATACATGATAAACACGGGAGACGTTCTTAGTTCTAGCTGCTCTGAAAACCTGTTGAAGATTAAGGGCTCAGCCTTCCTCAGGCCAGTTGGCATCCTTAGTTTGAGCTCTCAACACCAAACTGGTTCATGCAAAAGCCTGTGTGGACTGCAGTGAGATTATAAGATGGTGTTCAAATCAATCACCATCTCTTCAGAAGAGCAAGCTTTAAACCCCAAAGACCTCCATTTCAAACAGAATCAACAAATCCCCAACTGGAACCTTCATATCCAGGTAGTTTTCCCACTCCAAGTCATCAATGCAGTGATCAATTATTCCAGAGACTCCGTTTGTGTGAACCGAGAGTTACCTGGAATTTCTCACGAGGTGTGTAGCCGTGTGACTCAGCACCATCATCAAATGATTTGTCCTGTGGGAGACAAACATTCCGAGCATGTGACACCACTTACACACCATCCTCATTCCACGCACGTAAACTGTCAACACAATTCATTCACTATTTACAGTTGTACCTTTGAGCCTTTGCGTGGCGTGTACCCATGAGCTCCCTTTGGCTCTTCACCAGACTGAAAGAACAAAAAGAAACAGGTGTTTTAGTGTGCCAAGTAAAGAGCAGCGGTATTGGTACGGGCTGTTACCCACACACATGGGCAGCAATACCTTTTCCAAACAGATAGCAAATCCTCTTTGGGGCACAAACTTAATTTTCACCTTCTTTTTTCTCTTCTGGAAAGAGAGAATTGGATTAGAAAGAGACAAGAAATGGAAGAATATTCACAGATCTGCGGTTCAACTTAAGAAGAATGATCTTAAAAAGGAGTCAGGGGTGGCATTAGAGAACAAATCGGGGGTCCACCTCCTCATGGTGGGCTTCGCCTCCCTCCTCCTCGTCTCCGGGGCTGTCATCCAACATTGCCCCCTGAAACACACAAAAAACAGCCAAATGAAGAGACGGTAAATTTACAAATGATAGATCAGCCTATATGAGAGAGACAACTTTTTATTTATTTATTTAAAGATGAGTGATGTACCTCCGAATTTCTGCGAACGGTCTCCTTTTTCTCTCTCTCCTGTAGGATAATGATATAATGATCAGGTATGAGATTGATTTGGCTATTATGGCAGACAGACTCAGGCACATATATGTTCATAGAAGAAAATAAATAGAATAACACACACACACCCCCGTAACTTACCTTTGAATCCTGAGGAAAGTGGCCATTCTCGTGCCTTCCATCAAACACAGAAGTAGTTGATGCTCTTCGAAACAGCTTATTGACTTTGGTCTTCAGGGGTTTTTTCTGCCGACGAAGACAAAAAAAACAAAACATGTCCAACACTTTTCATGATTAACAATCCTTAACAAAAAAAAACAAAAAAAAAAGCACATACTTTATAGTCCATGCCATAATGGTCTTCATCTTCATTCTCTCCTGGAGAAGACAAATAGTCCTGAAAATAAAAACAAAAGAAGGCCGTTTGATTTGTGTAAAAGTTTGAGAGTGCAATCAGCTGAGTGGGTGGAGGTCCTCCAAATAGAAAATCCTCACTGTGATATAACCGTAATTATCGATACTACATAAATACTTTTAATTTCTTCCACTTGTAAAGTATCTGTGCTCTTTCTGCCGCAGGGGATTACTTCTCAGTGAAAATTCATACCACATGCAGGTGCTTAACACCCATTTTCTGCACTGTCAACAACTTTCACAGCAATGGAAAAGAGGCGCCACCCTCTCAGCATTTGACGATGAATAGTGTTCAGTCTATAACAAAACCAGCCGGTGGCTACCTTTGATGATTTCCGTTGTACAGGCAAAGTGCTGCTCTTTGAGTCCATCATGTCATCAGGAAACTTGTCCTAGAAGTAGAGGCAGTTGCCATGGCAATATCAAAACGTACATGAACGCATGAACAAAACAAAAACAAAAAGACATTTTGGAAAGGGTCACTTCACGTACCTTTGATCCTCTCCTGGAGAGTAGGGACATTCGGAATTTCTTATCCTTTTTCTGTAACAAATGTTCAGGGGTAAGGTTCCAACTTGTGCAGGAGCACAACTAAATGAATTCTAACAACAAATAACAGCCTAGAGTCAGCAGAGTACCTTGCTCCCGGTGCCGTCCAGATCATCGCCACTTCCCCCACCAGCAACCAGCTTTTCCTGAAGTAAAGCAGAAAGAGAAGCTGAAAGCTATTTTTCTAATAAAGAAAATCTTTGAGGAGGAGAACGGTCCCTCTCTGACCTTCATTGACTCTCTTCGCAGTCTGAGTCTTCCAGACTTGGGGAAAGACAGAAAAAGAAGAATGAATTCATTGACTGATTCACTGAAATGTCTGACAAAGTAGTGAGTGTTTTCCAGCATATACTTGGTAATTGTGATTAAAGAAAGCTAAAAAAAACAAAACAAGGCTTCACTTACAGGTTTGAAGTCAGGCTGAAGCTCAGGACTGTCCTCGGGCCAGTCGTCTACAGCATGTTCCTGTCAGGTTAGAGAGAAAATCGTTATTTACACACACTTCGATTTCTATTGAGAGATCTAAACGCAATCCACAACATTTAAAACAAAAAAAGATTAAAAAGCAAGAAACACTCCCTTTAGTCATCACTGTCTTTATTGCAGAACCATTTGTCCTTGAAAAACACAACAAAAAAAACACCCATACTCAGACCCACCTGCCCGATCAGAAGGATGTCCTCAAAGACTATGTAGTTCTCATGTTCCACCGGTTTACTCTCCTGAAAAAGCCAAAGACACAGATGTATATAAAAAAAAAAAATACACCAATTATTTGGTATCCACTGTGCAACCTTACAGACACCAGCATCCAAGTTGCTCCTCATCTGGACAGATGACAGCAACAGGGCAGAGCTGCTTCTACAACCCACTTACCGGCGATTTTGGCTTATGGCGAATGACCGGCTTTGGGGGTCCTCTAAATGAAAGAGTCGGTGAGGTTTTCGGTATGTTTGGTTGTGTATCAGCCTGTTTCAAGTGAGGAGGGCAGAAAGAAAGACAACTTGAGAGGCAAAGTGGGGAGAAAAAAAACAACAACGGAACAATATGAAGCGAGTGGATACAGACCTGCTGGCTGACAGAAGCCGCCGGCTGGGGGGGCTTTTCTGGCCTCGGGGGTCTAGTTCGAGGAAGTGGTCGCGGCGGACGCCTGAAAATCGGCACCTGCAAGATTGAGCACATCAAATCTGTTTACACTGCCCTGTTCACAGCGCTCCGTAATGCTGAGTGGCTGGCTACATACGGGGTCGGGGTCGGCGTCGGCTTGAGGCTGGCTGGGGGACGCAGGCGGGCTGCTGGCCTGAACGAACGGAGTGGGCTGAAGAATGCTGTGTTTGCTTCCCTGGGGAGTCGTCAGGACCACCTCTTGGGGCCGGAGAGACGGCTTTGGAGGGACGGGAGGAGGAGGAGGTTTGGATTGCCTGAGTGCATCTGCAGACACTGGAAAGTCCAACTTGGTCTCAGATGGACTGTAGCTTGAAGGTGTAGAGAATAAGGCCTTGGATGGAGTTACCCCCGACAGCTCCCCTCTCTGTTTAGCGTATGAAGGCCGTCGCCGGAAGATGTCTGCTGTTCCATTCTGGAGGAGGCCGCTCGGCTTTGTAGGAGTTGGGCTAAATGGATCCTCCAAGGTGGAGACATTTTGGAATAAATCCCTTGAAAGTGGGCTTTGGATCATATTGACTGTGTTTGTGGAGGAGTTGGAAAATGGATCCAGATTTTCCTTGGACGACATGCCAAACAGGTCATCGTCTGCAGTGGGCGCCTCTTCTGAGGCGTCTCCTTTGCTTCCCATGGGGCTGAAGAGTTCGTCCCCTTTAACTGCACTGTTTAAGTACAAATCTGCTTCTCTGGTGGGGACATAAAAGGGGTTTGTCGCCACCGTTTGTGGAGACTGAAACAAATCGTCCTTGTCCAAAGGAGATTTGAAGGGATCAATAAAATTAGTGGTAGGTTCGTCAAACAGGCTCTCCCCATTGGCCCATACAGTGGGGGCCGAATCCTTCCCTTCAGCAGCGTGAAAAAGATCCTGTGCTTCCACTTTGGAGCTGTTCGACTGCCAGAGGTCCTGTGATTGAGTCTGGTTTGTGCTGAAGTAGTCTGCCGTTTTGGAGGTTGTGTCAAATAGGTCACCATTGGCCGTGGGGCTCGGGGCCTTCACTGAGGCTTGGAAGAGATCTGCCTTCTTTTCGGGTTCCCAAAATGAAGCTCCGTAGTCCGAAGTCTTAGAGTTAGTTTCGAGATCCAGAGGAGAGCTCTGAAATTCAGGTGGAGGAGCGAAGAGGGATTTAAGGGAGGCCTGGGCTGAAGCTTTCTCCTCGGCGTCCTCCATCACGCCGTCCTTACTGCGCGAGTCCTGGAGCCAGAAAACAAGTGTTAAACCAACACAGTCAAAGCAAACCTACCACCTAAAGAGAGAACAAAGACAAAGCACCTACCAAGTAATGGGCATAAAAGGGGTTTGTTCTAGACAGCCCCACAGAAGCTTCATTCTGACAAAGACAGAAAGGATAAAGGAGGATAGGGTGTCAGTGAAACGGATGATGAACTTCCTCCAAACAGTGTCAGGTGACACATACCCGACGGCTTACAGTACTGCTGTTCTCCATTAGGATCGAACAGTGACTCAGCATAAATGTCTCATGTTGAATAACTGAATTTCAGTCAAATGCAGAGATTCAGAAAAATTCAATTTGTAAGATTTTTTTGTGGGTGAAAAAAATAACTATACTTGTCCCATAAGAGAGCAGATTACGCTCATGGCTGACACTTTGCTGCATGTGGGCGTCTTTAAGTTCAAAACGTAAATTCACTAATGACCATGAACTTGAAACTCGCCCTCTGCTTTCAACTTTATCCCAGCAAGAATGAACTGACTTGACTGAAAAATCAAGTTGAACTGTCTGAGCCCACACAGACACGCCCACCCATTGTTTTGTTCCCGTGTCAGCAAGTTATTGTTTTTAAGCAGATAAGAAAGCAAAAATAAAGGTGTGGATGCTATGTCACATAGGGATCAAGAGTCTCAGCCTACACACGACAGCACAAACGGGATAGGGAGTGCGCTCCAGTCCTGGGTTTAGTTTTCTGCAGCTCATTCTCACCTGTGGGGGGTTCAGCTGATGGGGGTCCCCCACATCTGCAGCAGCAGCTGGCCCCGCCGCATCCTGAGGAGCAAAGGCCAAAGATCAGAACAACATGGGTGTAGGGTGGGGAGGCACGCGGGTTGCTTTTTGTTGTTTTTTTTAGGCTGGCGGAACCTGTGTGGGACACCGGGCATCGCTCGGTAGAAAATGCAAACAAAACCACAAATGGAGTGAAAGCTGTTCTCTGACCTTATCGTCCGGGGACTTGATCAAAAATGATCCACTGGAGTCGGAAGACGAGGAGATGAGAGCCTGAGGAGGACAGAGACAGAGAAGAAGTGGGTTTTAGTTTGACTCTGAGATGGGGGAAATGTTTTTTGGGGGGGGTTTTGTTCGTTTTTCGAGTTACTAAGCTGCTCATGTCAGGTGTTTATGAACAGTGACAACTCCTTAAAATTAAGTTTGCAATTCATTGAAGCCCCACTTTACAAAGTCGACACACGATGGAATAAAAACGATCAAATGTTAAGTGTCTCTGTGGTGCAGGTCGACGACTCTGAAGAGACGCCTGACACTATTAGGAGTCGATTGGAAAATGCCTAAAAAAATTGTGCAGGATTGAAGTTACTTTTGTTATTTACTGTGTTATTTATTTATTCATCTCCCCCCCCCCCCCCCATTTCTTAAAGGCAACAAATATCACAAAACTTGGTCTAGACTGTGTGCAGGACGGATAAAAAAAACAGTAGGATCAGCTACATTTACAAGTTATCTTCACTCTGTGAATGAAGCTGGACTGTGTGTTCCCCGATGAGCTGCAGATCACGACAAATTATTCAACAGCCATTTCCAGCCTATTTCAAAGTATCTACTTAAATCAGTTATTTTCTTGAAGATATGAGCTAACTAGCAGGTTTAAAATATTTAAAAACCATTTTCATGTTGATATTTTTGTGTCCACTTACATTGTAGCGGTTATGGAGAGGGCTGTGGGAGACTTTTTTCAGCATACTTTGCAATGTAGCTATTCTCTGTAGAGACAGGAAAGACAATCACTAATAAATGCCCAAGTTTCATGCTAATTTTTTTTTTCTTTCTTCATTTCACAAGACGCCATGCTTGAATTACAAGTTAAACTTAAATCAAAATAGTTTTCATTTAAGAAGGTGCAAACCCAAAGTTGAGCTTTGAGGGAGAGACAGAGAGAGAGATCAATAAAGTTTGCTTTAACAACTTTTTAACGCTACAGCTCATAAAATACAAAAAAGTTGTCTCACAGTCCTGCATTTTTATCTACTTTAAAGTAACAGAATATATATAATTTTTTGCAGGCATTTGCTTTGAAACCGGACGCATCTTTTATCAGCACAGCCCCTATTTAAAAGCACTTACAGGTCGACTTTGGCCCGTGGAGGGTTCTGGAAGAGCTGAATTTCCCTCGTATTTGTCCGCTTCAACGACATTTTCCTAATAAATACATGGTATTGGACAAAAAATTTCAGACAGTCTGAAACACTAGTCATGACTCCAAACAAAATCAGCTCAAATTACACAATTCAATATTTCTTCCTCTTTTTCTTGAAATAAACGCCATGAATACTTACACCAGAAGTTTCTCCTCTCATGACGTGTAACTCACAACTGGTTCGGTCAATTTTATTTTGTTTTTACTCAGATAGCAGCTTTTTTCCACGAGTTTTTCTAATTTAAACCAAACAGAGCGTCCTCGGCATTTCAAAAACTCTCGTTTCTAATTGCATCTCTGCTCACGCACCTGAGTCAAGGTGTCCCAGGGGAAGTTGTCCCCCAATTTCCGGTATCGGCGTTTTCAAAATAAAAATGGTTTTCTGGGTTTTCTTGCTCCGTTGCAAATAATATTATTATGACAGTTCTGTAAGAGGCAACATACAGAGAGAAAACTCGACTTTCTAACAAATACATAACTCTCCCACTAGCAAGGGTAATGGCAGACATTTTACGTGTTGGTGGTCACGTTAAAACAACAAAGATAGTGTTAGAAAAATGCAAGTGAGTTTTTTCAATCCTGGGATGTGCAGGGAGTTAATAAAAATGCCCCTATGATAAGTCCTCTCACGAAGGGCGAATAAGTTACCTACTTTACAATGATTTCGTTTATAGGTTGTACTAGCATAGCTTGTTTCTCGCTTATAATGAGCACGACTGGCTAAAGAGTAACAATCACGTTTTGTAACGTGAGACACATTACGGTAAAACAACTATTCATAAAACTGGCTGCAGTTAATTGGTCAAAGCCATAGTTGAGAAACGTTTTACCATTATTTTGAAGGGGGAAACTAGGCCATTTCTGCTTGTTTCTGTGGCTACGCGAGCTTGACGCTGTCGCCTGTCCGCCCATCAATGCGGGCAGACCGGTTGTCGCCTCCCAGCCGAACCGGGCGGAGTGGTCCAGGTGTGACACCCCTCAAAGCTGAGGGGATTGTGCGTGCCACCAAACGCCTGGAGGTGTAACAAATGCCCCACCAACTCCACGTATAGAAGCTGTATTATTAATTTCAACCGGAGCGTAAAGCTGTAGTATTGACCGCATTTAAATGTGTGATTGTAATACAATGAAATAAAATACATTTTTAAAAAAGGAACATGGGTCAAATTGTCCAAATGAAATCAGAACAAACTCAAAATAAAGCGATATGGGAAACATAGCCCTCCAGAAGCCACATAGTTGTAGTAATAAAACTGTCCAGCAGGTGGCAGAAGCTCCTTAGAGAGGAGAAAAAGCTTTTATAAAACGAGTTTTAAAGAGCTCCTCATTTAATGAAGTAAATATACGGATATACATTCATTATCCATCTATATATCTATCTATCTATCTATCTATCTATCTATCTATCTATCTATCTAT